CCTCGTTTTGGAGCATATCTGCACAGGCTGCATTCTTATCTTCTGAATCTGAGATTTTCAGAACAGGAGGAGTTTTTCCCTTGGGTTCCCGTGGTTCCCTATGATTACATAAAGCCTCAGCACAAGAGGGACAGCTTGTGTTAGGAAGCCAGCACTGTCACAAATGAACGGTGTTCAAAGGGTGGAAGATGGAAGACAAATTGAAGAGCAAGCACTAGCCATCTTGCAGTGTATGTGATGGATGCATAGTGGAAGGAAGAAGCTGCATGAAATCTCTGGCCTGCTCAGGCTTTGGCACACTCAGTGCATGACACACAAGACTTGTGCTGCTGTCTTCTCCCCTCCTACCCATCCAGGAATTGTAGCTGGCAGTGTCTGAAATGTGTCAGACTGTTGGCTGATGAAGCAGTGGGCTGTGCAGAACAGGCTGTTCCAAGGATGGGCAGGGGTGAGAGATTTGTGAGCATTTGGTGCTTGCTGGCAGGTAATGAGCCACTTCCCCCTTTGGATGCGGTACAAAATGACCCATTGTCTTGATTATTAGGTGGCTAATGGAGCTGTTTCCAGGTGACTCCTCAAAAGGGATTTGGTCTGTAGTTTCCATCTTCTGAGAGCAGTTGGATGGTAAGGAAGGTGTGAGCAATGCAGGGTTTTGTTTTTTAAATAATGAAAGGTACTAAAAAGCAGAAAATCCAAGGTCCTGGGGATATTTAGCCTTCAGGATCCCATTGGATCCCATTGTTTGGGTACTGTTTTCGCTCCATGCAGAGTTCTTGCACTTCACAACTCTGCTTCACAGTTTGAGTCATCCCACCATGGTCCAGATGTGTGCTTTTAAGTACAACTGGCATTGAAGTTACACATACCTAACGAGATTGGTATGTTTGCTCCAGGGACTGTTGCACCTGTGTATGCTGGAAAGAATGTCAGTAAAATACCTGTGCAGAGTCCACGGGCATAGTTTGGGCTGCGTTCATAAACTGCAGTGAAAAAAACAGCTGGTCTGAATGCACAAACATTTTACCTTCCTCTCTGCAAGTATTTAGGTAACATTCTTTATGTGTTACATGGTTGCACCCCTGGGATTGAGAAGGCAGAGGCGAATTCTCAATCATTTATGTGCAGGCCAGCAGTGTTACTTCTGGTACCAGGCTGGCCTTTTTTAGAGAGTTCGCTTTTGAGCATCATTACTAGAAAGCTGGACACAGGCAGCGAAATTATTTGGTGTCAGCTGCTGTCCTAAAGACTTTTTCCCCCCTGACTTGAGCTACAAGGCTGCAGGTGATTGGAACAGCCACCTCAACAATGTTTTGGGTTTGGTAGGGAGTGAACTGCTGGAATTGCCCACTTCCTCCATGTTTCTGTTGCTGTTTGTGTTTGAAACAACAGGGTGCAGGCACAGAGGAAGGACTGGGGGAAGCTGTACCAAGTCACATGGCACCAATGTCATCTGTTTTAATAGGAGGTGAGGTATCTCCTTCCTCACCTCATCATGTTTTTGGGTTGCTCTGGCTGTGACCCAGTCATTGTCACTGCAGCACAAACATCTGTAGGTGAACCCTCAGTATTTCCCCTTGGGGTAGTTTTTTTTAAGATGAGTTTCTTGGAAGTCTGAATAGAGACATTTCCCTTTCCGTGCTGAACTTCTGCAGTTGGAAGAAGTATCCATACAGCCTTGAGAAAACGAAATATTTTACTTCTTTGCAAGAGCCAGCTTGAAGCACTGCGCCTCTTTTGAAGGTTTGCATGGCCCATCTGAGATCCCAGTAATGGTACTTTGGCATCAGGGTTTTGTTGCTGCAAGAGTCCTAAGCCAGCTACAAAAACCCACCCACAGCCTTTGGCATTCAGTTCCCTGCTGGAAAACTCACAAGAGTTTTTATGGATGAATGATTTGGTTCTAGAGTGTAACTGAGAGTCATGGCTTCTTTTTATTGCCGTGTGGTGGAAACTCATTTTCTCAGCATACAGTCCAGTATTCATTTGCAAGGCTTCTGGGAAGCAGAATGCTATCAGGAAGGTTACGGTGTCTTTTCTGATGTGTTCCTTAGTGATAACGTTAAGAACCTGTCCTGTACTGAGGAATCTGTCAGATCCCTCTTGAAGTCACAGCTTTGTTCTGGCCACAGCCTCTGTCTGATGGATGCAGCTCAGGTTCCTTAAATTTCCATCCTGCATCTCCACCCGCTGGAACTTCAAACACTTCATAAAGCTTTGGATCACCCTCAGCTTAAATACTTCCCTTTATTCCTGCGTTCGTAAAGTAGGTCAGTCCTAAGTGTGACTTTTTTTGTATAAAACAGCTTTTTTCCAGGAGCTTTGTGGTTGATGAGTAGTGGGTATGAAACTGAAGTGTTTGATCGTGGCTTTAGAGCTAGAATTGATTTGGAGTGAAATGCTACACTGAATTTCGCAGAGAAGATAATAGGAGTGGTTATGTTGGGTTTATGGCTCCCAGTCACCTTCTTGGGCAGCCACAAAAAAGCTGATTTTACTGGAGATGGAGGAGCACTGGCTGTCCTCAGAGCAGGTGGTGGCATTGGCATGGTGCTTGGCAATGGGGGGATGTGAAGGATGGCTGGAAAACAATGTGTTTTGTTGTTCCCTTCATTTTGCTGTAGGTAAAGGAGGATCTGTCCCGGAGAGATGTAGGATTTTAGTAAATAATAATTAGTTTCAATCACCATTAAAGGGGTTTCTTGGAGACAATCCAACCTTCATGCAGCAAATCCAAGTTTATGAATGTAGGTTTAAATTCCTACCAACCTGTCTGTCATCCCATTTTCTATTATGCAGCAGCCAATTAACCTGTATTACTTCTTAATTTTTCTTGAAGAAAACAGCTTTCAAGGAATGTTCCCCCCCCAAACATGACTTCAGATAGTCTTCAGAAGCCTCCCTTCAGTACATTTACAGCATGAGGAAATGTAGGCTCTACAATGGTCATTTTCTGTAGATTTTCTCCCCACGAAGGAGGAATGAATGGAATGGTTCTGGATTGATGAGACACAGAAAGCCTTGGGTCGTTTCCATCGCAGCGTGCCTCGGATTCATGATGGTTCAATCACTGCCATTGTTGCTGGAGCATCCATATACGATGTCAGAGCAACTTCATTGAAGTAGCACATTAGCATTTAAAGCAATATTAATGCTATATTTGATTCATTAAATATACACAGGCAAGTTAAAGCATTTCCATGTGTGTGCTGTTAGTTCTGGCGGGGGGTTCTTCAGATGGTTTTATGTGGTTTCAGACGACATTTTAGCACATTCTTAAAATACCCACAAAAGCCTTTATGTAGAATCTCATAAAGGTGAACCACATAAAATTATTCTTTTTTTCCTGTTTCATGTCATTAGGATCAAAGTACAGTAGGTAAGAATGAATTTCCAAAAGCCTTGTTTTGGTCTCTCTCTTAATTAATGTTTCATGCTTGTAGCAAGCTCATAAAGTGGGTAATAGGGAAACTCTCTGTGTACATGGTAATATTCTCAGAGACTTCCAGTTTATTTTGACTGAATTCACTTATTCTTTATATGAATATTTTAAGCAAACTTGCTGTGGAAGTGGGCAGTGCTTTGGGTTCTGGGGCCTTTGGTTCAAGCCCTTCTGTCAAAGGAAGCATCAGAACTCAACATCAGAATCAGAACGTAGCTTGCTGAAGTCCTGAAACTCCTGTTAACTGCATTAACCAAAATCCATTTGTGAATTCCCCAGGGGACATAAAAAGGGTGTTTGTTGGTTTGTTAGGTTCAAATTGCCTGCTGGAAGCCTGGCTTCAGCACACCTGCAGAGCACAGGGCTTTCCTTTAAAGGCAGCGCCTTAACCAATGTCATAGGATGGTGCTGTGTGTGTTTGTTTCTTCAGTTACACAGTTATGCATGCACACAGTTGTAAAGAATCAGGGCTGTTTTGGTGACTCGGCCTTACAACAGCATGCTAGACTGGCCTGTAAATGCAGATCAAATGTTCAGAGCAGCACAGGTTATTTGCCATGCATTCCTGATGTTTTTTCTCCCAGCTTCTGGAAGGTGGGTTGGTGTTCCGGAATCCACAGCGCTTCAAGCTGATATGCCAAGTCCAAAATGCACAGTAAATCACATCTGAAGTGCCATTGACAACTGCCAGGCTCGTGTTTAGAAAGGAGGGGAGCATGAAGGCGGGAGGCTCCAACACGTTTTTCATGTTGGCGATGAGCGATGTTTCCATTTCTTGCTGGAGAGGAGAAACGTGCAGCCACTTGCAGATCTTTGTGATCGTCTTGCTTGTGTAGCAAGAAGCAGGAATACAGGGCACCAGTGCTAGAAAGCAGCTGAGTTCTGCAGGTGTCACTGTTTTGTTAGTTCTCTTAGTACGTACCTTGTGCTACCTGAGATGTGAGGTTGAGGTGGATTAGCTTGTTCTCTGCTGTATCTGAAGCTGGAGTATGATGTGAACCTAAACAACACCCCTTTGTTCCTACGGACTTTGGTTTTGGTTCAGCTCTGTTTGCAGTCAGTAAGCCAGCCTCACACAGAGTCTTGAGATCCAGCATGAGGCTGCTGACTTGCTCCCTTTTCTCTTAATTAGCAGGCTGCGTTGTAAAGAACTTCCAGACTTGCTCGATAGAGAAAGAAAAGGAGAAAAAAAATCAAAAACTGTAAAATAGAGCCTTACTCTCAGCCTGCTTTGTAGCTTGTGCTTTCACCAGCTGTTATAGTTAATTGGAATCAGAGGGATTGTTTCCTCGAGTACTGTAGAAATGTGCAACTTGCTCTGTTTCTCACCAGGCTTTTATTCTCCTTTAGAGAAATACACAGTCTTGTTGCAGTTAAAATCTGTGTATTATAAAATCATGTCAGCTGCTGTGTTTCTAGGTATCTAACCATTGAGACTGGGCCGTCTTACAATCAAAAAGTCTTTGTTAAGATGTAGAGGTTCTGCTTATTTAAGATGATTATCTGACTCCAGCTTGGATCCTGCTTGCTGTTAACATGCCTATTGGATTGCATCCTGCAGGTATTTCGAAGGTGGAGTCTCCTCTGTCTACCTCTGGGATCTGGATCATGGTTTTGCCGGCGTGATCCTCATTAAGAAAGCTGGAGATGGATCAAAGAAGATTAAGGGATGCTGGGATTCCATCCACGTGGTGGAGGTTCAGGTACAGCCTCTGGGGCAGCTGATATTCCTAAGTGAAAACAAAACCCAGTTAATTCCAGACAATTAACGAGCACAGGTGTTCCACAGAACAATGCAATATTGTGTTTGGGGCTGTAAACTTCTTTCCCCTGTTAATTTTGAAAATTCCCTGAAGCAATTTGGATAGAGATAAGTCAGAGCTGTAATCAAAAGGAATCCCAGAAGAATTGAAGGTATGTTGCTTTCTATACTCGCGATCCTGAGATTATTTTTTTCTTAAAAAACATAAAGGTTTACAGATAAATATCACTAATTAGGTAATAAAAACGAGGTGACGGGAGGTTAAATTGCTCTAGCAAGATTTGCTTTTGGAGAACTGGGAAAATAGGCACACTTGTGCTTGCTTTTAAGAAACAGGCTGCGCTCTGTAATTGCAGATACATGCATCTGCCCTTTTACTCATGGAGCTCTATGGCCAGCCACTTTTTAGTTTCTGGAGGGTTTGTCACCTTTTGTGTTTTTCCTTTTTCTTGTCCTCCCTCTGCCAGGAGAAATCCAGCGGTCGTACTGCTCATTACAAGCTGACCTCCACAGTGATGCTGTGGCTGCAGACTAATAAAACTGGTTCTGGTACCATGAACCTTGGCGGGAGCCTCACCAGACAGGTACGTCTGCATACTGCACCAGTGCACACTGCAGACCTGCACGCCTTTCCTGATTTATTTACCCTGTAGCCTCAGTCAGGATCAAAAAGCTCATTTTGTGAGGTGTCGGATCAGTGCTGTTCTCATGCTGCGTGTGCACTCCAGTGAAGAAGTTAAGGCACAAGTGTGTGGTTACCAGGAAGCCCCTTGAGTTTGGGTTGATGGCAGTATGGCTTTCAATTAGAAATACAAAACCTTCAGCAGGAGCTTAGATGTTCATTTCAGTCTTAATTTTGTGTTCAGTATTCCTGAACTCTTATACTTCTGCATGCATTGCATGGACAGATGTTTTTAAGTTTGTCCACACTGTTACCAGAAGATTGCAGTAGGATCATAAAAAAATAAGATGACCTTTTTTGTTCCATCTCTTCTTTTTTAAAGCCAGCTAGGCCACTGTGGCCAGCCCTGTATTTTGCTTGGACCATACAATTCTTCTGCTCTTAAAGGCTTTAAGTGTTTTTTAGTATCCTTCAGTGTTCCACTCCTGCAGTACCAGGACAATGACAAAGAATTACATGTCTTCTAAGCATTTGTTTCTTATTCCAGTGCAAATTGCTTTGGCTTCCTGTTGAGAAAGCTGTTTCTCAGACAGAAGGTGCCAGGATGCTGACTGTTAGGCAGCACTGCTGTCAAAGGCTCTGGCACAGCTGAAGGTGCCTCTGCCCCAGCCACCTGCCAGAGGTTGCAGTCTGTGTACTGCATGAATTGGGGTTGTGGAAGTCAGTGACTCGCGAAGAGTAATAAACTCAGGGGGACAGGAGGCATATTGTGTGGTCATGAGTGACTGGAGAGATTGGCAGTTGCTAAAACTCCTTTATGAGACTTCCCAGAGCAGCCTGTTGCTTTCCATACAAAGGACAATGCAGACTCTGTTAAGCAGCCCGTGGTTTTGTGCAGGTTCGAGGCAGGCAAAGGAACAAAGGATCTACGATCACGGAGAGGAACTGAATTGTGTTAGTCTTGCAGACGTGGAAGCTTGCCCTAGATTTTTCTTTCCACCTTGTTGATTTACAGAAGAAGCTGATAGAAAAACAGGAGGGGAAAAAGAGGCATCTGGAGCTGGTTTTTGAGCATTGCGTACTCTTTTAAAGTGTTTGCAGTAATTACACTCGAGTTATGGTGACCCAGACAAATATTTAATCACAGGCCTTCCTAATACTTTAAATCACAGCTGTGAAGTGGACGCCAAGGGCTTGACTCTGGCCATGGCCTTATGGTGTGTGAGAGCTATGCCAAGGGAAACAAGGGTCTGTTGAGAATGGGTGTCCTCAGTACACCTTGGCCTGAACTGCTTGGCCTTGTTTGGTTTGACTTTCACTCTCTCAGCCTTTAGTGAGGAGATTCATGCTTCTGTCATCATTTTAACAGCAGATCGTTTAATTCATATGCGATGCATTAAAGCAGGGGCCTGCTTCCAATGTAAGTAACCATAAAGGAGCCACTGGGGTAATGATGCACTGCTTCTGCACAAACAATGGAAACTTGCGTTGTAGAATTCAGCTCTGGGCTGCAGAGCTCTGTTTTGCAGATGCCACGACGTGCTTCATGGGACAGTAGTTCCAGTTTTGCTTTTTGGTGGGGCTTTTTGTACAGTCTGCAGTGAACTCAGGCACCAACAGTAGGCTGTAGTTACCTTGTTATTGACTGTCACAGTTTGACAGTATCAGTGAGCTGCTGTTGTAACCATCATGACAAAACACCTTTCTCTATAGTAGATTGTTCATGTTTTTGGTCAACATTGAAGCTACTTGACCACCTTTGATCCTAAAATGCAAATAGCAGATGTCCTTGTATTTCAGTGGAAGCTTTTGAAGTGTTCACAAGTTTTGTAATATCCTGGCTTATATGCTGATGGCAGGGAGAACCTTTCAGTGCTTGGAAAAGGAAGTCTGTTGAGAGCCATTACTTTGAAACCAGTTTCACCTCCTAGCTGCAAATCGGGTATTTTTCGAGTGATGACTGGAACGATTCCCTTGGTGGCCAGGAGCAGGCTCATGTAATGCCTCCTAATTCACCACCTCTGGCAGCTCCGAAGAGCTGGGCACAGCTCACACTGAAATGCTATGGGGAGCATTTTGCAGCTTCATATGGAAACCTTTGCTCAGTAATTCCCCTTGCTGGTGTGTGCAGATGACACTCGGTGCAAGCAGTCAGGCAGTCCTGTTTGTTCTGTGGGTGGACAGCACGGTACTGTGGTAGGACTGGATCTGGAAGTAAGAGCCTAAAATATTTTCTGCTCTCATTTCCTATTGGTGAAGCATTGTTGCAACGCATCAGACACCAGCGTACTTCTTTTTGGTTTTTCTCTTTATTGATTTTATTGAGACTGTTTGGAAAAATGTGTCTGTGCGTTTCTAGAATATCCTCAGAGTTGTTCCTGGAATCCTCCTGCTTAGGCTCCTCCTAAGTGTTGCAGAGAATTTTTAAGAATAAAACCTTTTTTTGCCTCTCTTTCCCAGTTGCTGTGGATCTCAGTATTTTTACAGCTGACTTTGGGCCGTTGAAGTTATGCTCTGGCTAGGCAGAAGTCATTTCCCTGCCCTGTGTCTCCTTTAGTGTTGTCTCTTTGTTTAGAATGGGAAACTGACTCTACAGCATTTTACATTTGTAAGTAGGCAGAATAAGGAAGGAGAGATGTGAGACACTGAGGAGCTGTCCTGTTTTAGGAGGTCGAACGTCTTTATGTAGCTTCATTTAGCCTGATGGTTTTCTAAATGAGAACTTCAGGCTTTTGCTTTATCCATTCATTATCCATTGCTACTGTCTTGCCCCAAAAGGCAAGAAGAGTCAGATAGAGACCTGCTCCTGCAGCTAGAGTGCTCCCTATGCAGCTTGTGTTCTGGGACGAGCCTGGATGCTGTTCAAGAGAGGATGGAGCTGCTGCACCACAGCCAGGACGGAGGAAGCAGCTCCCAGCTCACATCTGACACTGGCAGGCTTCAGTAAATACAGGGAGCGAGGCTGGAATTTGGATAGGGAAGGAGAACTCGGCGTGTTCTGTGCTGTCTGCGTCAGTGAGGGGCCGCAGATCGGAGTGCTGTACATCGGAGAGGAGAGGAGAGGGCAGGACACGCTGCCTTCAGTTTGCAGCAAGGAGTGGTGCTTACAGGGAAATGAAAAATGCCAGCAGCTTTTCACTTGCCTTGCACGCACTCCAAAGGCAGCAGGTAGCTCTCACCCCATCCTGATTGGAGCCAGATGCCTGGCAGATGATTCTCTGCCTGACAGACGTTAGGGTCCCATCCTCTGTGTGTGCTGCAATTGCTTGTGCTGTTCACCACAGTGCTGCTTCAACCAAGCTTTGTGCTTGCATCAGGCTGCGCTTTTATTTCAGTCAGAGCAATCGTGTGGTCCTGTTTCATTTTATGCAGAGTAGATGGAGCCTTCCAGTGTCTGGCAAACAGTCAGATGTGCACTTTGTTGGACAGCTTTCTGCAGCCCCCTCCTTAAAAGCAAGGCTAACAGGTGCCTTGCTGAGCTCCTGCTGTGCACAAAGAACCCATCTGTGTTTCCTAAGCCAGGGTGAGCATCGTGAGGAAGTGCCAGTTCACCGAGGAAGATGTTGGCTCCAAACCTGGAGTTTATTTACATCTGGAGGTATGGGAAGAGGAGGTTATAAAGTTGTAGAGGAAGTGAAGCCTGGGATTTCAGATTAAAGCAGTGCAGATGTATGTTGATTTTCGTGCTTGAAATACTCTGTAGCAAAGGTGGAACGTTTTGCAGGGCTGGATGAAGGCTGGTCTGCTGCAATATGAGCTTTTCCTGTGCACAGGAAGATGTGCTCTGTGATATATTACTGCTCAATAAAGCACCAGCAGAGACATTCTGCCATTTATCATAATAGGTAAATCCTCTGAGGCTAGTGCTCTGCAATTAGGCAAGTCATATATTTTCATCAAGCTGAGCTTTCATGTAAAGGCCTATCCCACTGACTTCCAGATGTTGAGGCAGAACGGGGTGTTCAGGAGTGTATTTCCAATGGAGGAATCTGTGAGTTGTAGCTGTCAGAGTCCTTATGCCATTTTCCCAACTCCTGGAGGCATTTTGGGGTGCAGAGAATAGCAGAGATGTACTGAGCAGTAACTGTACAGGAAAAGGAAGCTTTCTGCTTCACCTGGCACACAGATTTTACTGATTCACAGAATGTCCTGGGTTGGAAGGGACCTCAAGGATCATGAATCTCCAACCCCCTGCCACAACAGGGCCACCAACCTCCCCATTTAATACCAGCCCAGGGTTTAGGATGAGAGAGAGTAGAAGAGATGAGCAAGTACAGACTAGCATGGAGAGCTGGTGTGATATCACTGGTTTTGCTCATGGTTTAGAAGGTGCAGTTTGGGAAGGGGCAGGGGATGTAGTTTGGTTACACTGATGGGAATAAATGTGCTTGAAGGCCATGAAAAGATGAGGTTAGCTCTTGGCTGATTTCTGCAACGCCGTAAGCTGTGTGGAGCTCACAGCCTTCATTTATCTGCTTAGAGTTTGAAATAAGCGTTGGAGAAAAAGGCCAATTTCTGTTTTATTGATATCCAAATAATTCCACATAATTTCCACCTGGAGACTTCACTCTGCCCACTGCCTGTGGTTTGGGAGCCTTTGGCTCACGTTGGTCTATGTTTCATTAAGGAGATTTTCACGTCGCACCGTGGCCAGAGCAGCTGTGGCTGTTTGTCGTCAGTTCTTCTGTGGATGAGTTTCTCTCTTATCTTTCTAGTATTTTTAGATGCTTTCATGATGAACCAGTGTTTATCCAACTTACGTTTCTCATTCAGTCTTAACTCTTCCTCCAAATAACATTTACAGAAAGCCCAAACAGCTGCTGTGTTCCATGCAGGAAACAACCCAAGTGACCAGCCAGCCATCGAGAGCTTAATATGCCCAGAAGAGTGAGTTTCCTTCTGAGTCAGACCTGCAGCAGATGGCTGGGGAAACGAGGCAAGGAAACGAGGCAGCATCTCCCTCGAATGGGAGAGGAGAGACTGGGCCATGGGGATGGGACTTGGCTCCTTCTGGAGCGTTAGGGTTTTTGGCTGAGCTCAGTGGCAGATGGGCAGGGACAGTGGGAAGATGAGATGCTTGTTAACATCAACATCGAGAATGGAATTTCCCCTCTGTGCAAATTAACCCCTTTATTTAAGTGGCTGTAGGCTTTCTGCCTAGGTCCATGCAGTGACAACCAACGGAAGGAACCTTTAAAAGTCCCAACAACTCTGCTGTTTGTATAACAGGCTGCTTACTGACTCTGAACTCCATTAAAACAGCCTCCCGTAACATCTGGGCTTCTATAGCATATAAAAAATGTTTTCCTTCTGGCAGCAGATTTTATGGAGATGTAATAATACAAGTTTTGAAAAAAAAAATAATCTATTTTCAGTTGCTGTTTCTTACCCATGAAGTTGCTGTGTCCAGGAGTGGAGGAGACACGGTGGAGAGCTTGTCAAAGTCAGTGACCCACTGCCAACTGCCCTGCAGCCCCAGATCTGATCCATTTGCTGCTGGTTCCCAAACTCACCATAACTTCTATGTGTGTGTGTTTGCATAGTTCAGATTTATTTTCCCCTTCTCCCACAACTGGATCCATTCTTCAGGCAACGTGTCTCCATTACATGTAAACAATCTGACTGTAATCTAAAGGAAGAATTTCAACGTTCTTACTCTTTTTCTGCCCCCCCCCCCCTCCAGGTTATCTTTTTGCCTTCAGGGTTCCAACTAAATTACATGCTTCCCTAAGCCTGTTAGAGACTTGGCTTATTAGAAGAAACCTGTAGCTGGCCCAGATATTTAAACTCTACCCTGAGGGAGGGATATGAACAGATGGATAAGAGAATTCGTGGGATTAGTAAAACCCTTTGAAGACTGTTCTTCCCACTACATTTTTCTCCCAGTTGTTCTTTTTTTTTTCTTCCATGCCATCTCAGCACATCTTGTGTCATCTGAGGTTCCTGGGTCTGATTGCTCAACAGCTTGTCTGCTCTTAGCCAGAATTTTCATCTTGGGAATTGGGAAAATTGTCTTTTCCCCTGGCAACTGAAGCTTACAGATCTTGGACAGCCATCCACAGCCCCTGGGTGAACATTGTATTGGGTAAAGGCAGCTGGAACATAGAAAACTAGGCGTTCTGCAGTGCCAGCTTCTAGTTTTCAGTCTTTGTAATGGAAAATCTCACCTGAATGCTCAAATTTCTCTTTCCATGTAATTGCAGTTTATGCAGTTATCAGTAGTCTCGCAGATAACTGTGATTTTTACATTTCTCTTTTCCTTCCCTCTCTACTAGAAGGTAAGTAATACCCAAGGCTTCTTTTGCCAGGAAATCCTGAAAATGGAGAATGTGCCCCATGTGTGGTTGGAAAAAGCATTTGAGATGAAGATGAAAAGAAACAGCTGTTTTTGCAGGTTTAGTTCACAGCAGTTAAACTGACAGCACCATCCTTGTGTGCATCTCATCAGCAGCCTTGTTTTCACATCCACATGTTGTGCTGCTTGCCCTGCTACACGTGCACCTCCTGCAGCCCCTTGGTAGGTAGGGAATGGCAATTTCGTAGTGCCTGTCTACACCAGGAGTCTACTGCAGGGTTTTGCTTTGATTCATGGCTTTCATTACACCACATTGCTGTTATCAACATGTGAGCCTTTGTCTAGTTCAGGGCATTTCTCAGTGTGTTACTTGTCTGTTTGCACACTGAAAGAATAGAGTTAGTCCAGGATTTTGAGACCTCCTTCTTTTATCCCTTCTCTTGAGGAGTGAAGCTGTAGTGCACGTGTCATCAGGTTTCCACAGCACTGATGGATCTGTGTCTTTTCTTAACAGATGGAGAAAGATGAGACTGTGAGCGACTCTTCTCCACACATAGCCAATATTGGACGCTTGGTAGAGGTAAGGCTGTGAAGCCATTGTAGCTTCAGCTTGCTGCAGGTTCTCACCCATAGTGAAGAACTCTGTGTTCTGCTTGCCTTTGGCTTCACAAGCAAGTTAATGGTTTGTACTGTATTGCACCCAGTGGTGGGAATGGTGCTCCAGCAGTCTGTAGATGCAGAAGGGCCATCTGCACCTGGTCTGCTCAGCAGAGCAGCAATCTTCCTGTGAAATAAGTTGAGAACTAGCAGACAACAGCCTGCCCCCTTCATCGTTTCTACAGTCATTTTTAAGGCAGAGTTATTTAAAGTCAGGATATGTTATTCAGAGCTCAAAAATTCAGCGTTTCAAGTGCTTATGAAGTCGACTGGAATTGTTGCTGCTTTTCATGGATTTGTGGCACCTGTTGGTCCCATGTGCTCAGCACAACGAGACTGAAGGCTTGAGGATGGGTGCCAGGAAATTGCCATGTAAAATTGAGGTGAAATGCACTTTTTTTTTTGCTGATATATGCAGGAGAAAAAAAAAAAAAGAAAAAAGATAGGTGGACAGAAACTGCCCTCTTGTGGCCGAGAACAGCCATCTACCTCCTGGAGTAACATTCAGGAGTGGGCAGGGACAGAGCTGAATCTTTTAAGCTTAGGTAAGACCAGAGAGATGGGGCCACGCTGTTGAACGTTGAGGTGAATGTTGTAAGTTGCACAAAGGAGTGTGAGTGCCACTGTCCTGGAAGCAGCTGAACAGCCTAAAGACTGGTTTCATACTTTTCTTTTCCAGGACATGGAAAACAAAATCAGAAGTACACTGAATGAGATTTATTTTGGTAAAACAAAGGACATCGTGAATGGGCTGAGGTAAGGAGCCCTCCAGCTGACCGTTTGCTTCCTTGCCATTCCCCATCGTGCCTGGGGCTCTGTTTCCCCAGCAGTCACCTGCTTTCTTTTGCTGGCACTGCCCTTTCCTACACAAAGCCTTTCCACGTTTAATTACTCACCTCACTGTGCTTTGGAACAATTATTATGTGTGTTATTATGAGTTTGGGGAACGTTTCTATTTTGTAACTGCAGTGATGTGAAGCAAGGTTTAAATCCTTTATTCCCTCACCAGGAAGAAAATTGCTCAATTAGCAGTGCTTGTACTTCAGGATGATTGTTAATTGGGAGCCTTATTCTGCATAGTTCTGAAAATAGTACTTAAATTCTGACTTCTCTTTTCAGCTTTCTTAAAAACAGTCGGTCCCAAGATTAAGTAATGGCTTGTGATATTTAGGCTTTGTTTTAAATTCTGTCTGTCTCTCAACACCTCTGGTCAAAATATAACATACTAGAACAGATGAAGTGAATGAACCCTCTGTGCCTTTCTGCAGGGGAAGCTACTCTGCTTTTCAGCCCCTTCTCCTGTCTGGTGAGGCGTTCTGTATAGAAATCCCAAGCTGGTGGTTCTCATGCTTGTAGAGACAAGTGTAGAAATGTGATGCCAAGTCTTTTTTTATTTTAAACTGCACCAGGAGCTCTGCTGCACGGTGGGTAATGCAGAAGATCCAAGTGGTGCACAGATGTCTGCTGCTCTTCTCTCCTGTGCTGAAATAAGGAACAAATCAGTAACCTCTTCTTCAGATGATAGAATAACAGAGCTAGCTGAATATTTGTGCTGCCTTCTTCACAGCATGGCCAGAGGGAGTCGACAGCATCATGACCAAGCAGCTTTTCTGTTTTTATTTCCATTTGCAGCGTGCAGGGCTTTAGCCAGGAAGCATGTATGAGCATTAAAAGGAAACGTAGGCTTTTTTTCCTCGTGAACGTGGCCTTCACATTTTGTAACTGAACGTTTCCTGTGTCTCCCCATTGTGTCACGTTCCTTTGTGCAGCAGTGAGATGACCTGCTCACAGCTGGTACCACGCAGAGCATCCGGCTGTGCCTTTTCCTCTTGCCTTTTTCCTGTTTCTTCCAACTTGTGATTTTACATTTTTTTCTTCCTACGTGCGTTTCCAGTGGGTTCCAGAATACCAGCTGTGTTACCTGATTTCTTCTGACTGTTCTTTTCCCTGTTTACTTCCCTCGTTTCTAAACTGCTCTCTGTAGATCTATTGATGCAATCCCCGACAACCAAAAGTATAAGCAGTTGCAGAGAGAACTTTCTCAAGTGTTGACCCAGCGCCAGATCTACATCCAGCCTGATAACTAAACCAATCCAGGTACCCTGCCAGGTGTGACAACCAGCACTAAACCAGGACTCACCCAGCCGAGACCTCTGCATGATAACTGAGGGCAGAACTAACCCCTAACTGCTGCAGACTGACCAACGACATCCGACCCATCCTTCACCCAAGGGTTATTCTTAACACAGCCAATTAAACGGTGTGGTTTTACTCGAGGTGTTACTCTGCTCCATTTGAAATGTCACGCTCTGAAATGGGGCAGGCCTTACCACTTTGCACTGTAGCTTGGGAGCAAGAAAGGAGCACATGGTCATTTACCCAGAGTGCTGTTAGCTTGGGCTCACTGCCTCCACAAGCCCTGGGACTCTGTCCCTTGAGCACCATTAGTTTGTACAGCTGTGGCACACCGCTCCAGTGAAGAGATTCCTTGTAATCTTCAAGTCCTCCTTGCAGAAAGGAATAACATTTTGAAAGTCTGGGCAAGAAAACACCTCTGCCTGTGGTGCTTCTGAGTCAGTTTCCCCTCCATGCACATCCCGTAGTGCTTGGTGTATCTTCAATTGGAGCTTGAAAATCCAGTCCTGCTCAAGCTCTGCTGAGTGCTGCGCAGCCTCCAATGGGATTTGTTCATATGCTCTCGTTTGCTCTGGAGCTCTGAATGTCCAGGACACACGGCAGTGACTAACCCTGAGCCAGTTTAACCTTCCACTGCAACTGGTAATGAATTACAGATGTTGTCTTAAACACGTTCAGCTGACGAAGGGGAAAATGCACTGTTTGTTGATAATGGCTGAGAACCACTTCTTTAGCCTGGGACAAATGCAAATATAAAATGTATATATTTTTATGAAGGCAGTGGAAGTCTCCAGAGACAAGAGAATGGAAATAACTGTAAGAAAAATGTTAGGAAAATAACTGAGGCACAGAGCAGCCTTGTTTACAGGAGGTGGCATCCAGGCAAAATGAGGTAGCTTGGAGCACAGAGGAGGGTGTGAAATATGGCTTATGTGGGTATAAATCCTCCCAAACTGCATCCTCACTGCTGCTGTGCTAGCAGAAAGGCCTGGTAGTGTCATTCTGTGGATGATCACGTTGAAAAGTTTGTTCTCTTGAAATTGGAAGTTGTGGCATCAGAAAGCAAGGTTCCTCTGCAGTTCTCTTGCAGAGCAGTGAGCCCAGATGGCTGGAAGGTGCAGCTCTTTGTAACCAAACCGGTAGCAAAAAGGAGCCCCTGCAGTAATCTTGCCAACTTGATTCACTAATTACTGTAGGCAAGGTATAAGCTGGAAAAGCAAATTCAAGAACAAACCCTGAGTGCTTTTCCCATTGGTGAATTTGCTGGAAGAGGTTTTGACGTGGCTGCTGTATCCTGGGTGAACAGTCTGCAGAAAGGAGCTCCCAGAGCTGGGATTTCACTTCTGTTGGCAGAGGCTGGACTTCTCCACTTTCCTGTTGTGGTCCTTTTGAGAGTGAGAGCACTAACACCTTCTGCTGGTGGTGTCCTGGGGTTTTCCAACCTGTAACATCCAACGGTGGGACTCTCCCTCCAGCAGCTGGAGGTGGGGTGCAACTGCTGGAAGCATCTCTTGGTGCAGCCCTTGCTACAGGCTTAACTTCTCTCTGACATAAGCACTGAAGTGTTCACTTTGCCTTCTGTTTTCTGTATTAAAACAGGCAAGCTGAGTTTTGTTTTCTCTAAGCCTGGGTTGAGGTGCTTCTGCTATTGCTCCCATGCCAGAAGAGCTGGTGGAAACCCTCGTTCAAGAGCGTCGCCTCTGACTTGTGTCTCCTTCTTCCCCGCAGGTCTGTGCAGACTTTTGCAGACAAATCAAAACAAGAAGCTCTTAAAAATGACCTGGTGGAGGCTTTGAAGAGAAAGCAGCAAAGTTAAAGTACTCTCCGTGCTAACAAGACATGCCATGCACTCGTTAGATTCCTTTCTTAGAAAACTCATCCCCCTGACCTTTTCTGTTACGTCACGTCACGATTTGCATTCAATACTATTCATGCAACGCCATCTTCTCCCCATGAATAAAGCTGTACAAACTTTTTCAGTCTCTGAGGCCTACTTTGCACCACATTTTGCTATTGAGACCTTAGGCTATGTTTCTGTAGAAGTCCATGTATTTTTTTTCCTCTTCCACCCTCCCCCATTGATACGCATACACACGGATCATTGTTTGTCTTTTCCTCCCCCATCCCCCTCCTGCCTTTTGTTACATTGGTGTAAAAAATGTAAAACAAAACAAAAAAAAATTTATTAAATACTGTGGTGTGTGAAAGAGGAAGAACTGGAAACAAAAAGGAAAACAAATCTATTCCACGTGTGTTTGGTGGGGGTTGGGCACAGGGCATGGCTGCTGGGAGGGAGGGAAGAGAGGTTGTTCCTTGGTGTTGTACTAAACCAGATTTGCAAGGAGACATTGATTAGGAGACCTGCTGAACGTTCTGCTCTTCTATAGCCTGGTTCCAAGGCGCTTTTCTGTCAATTTTTATGGAATGCAAAAGGGTTGTTTTGTTTTGTTTTGATTTTTCTTTTTTTTTTTTTTTTGTAAAGCTTAAATTGAATCTACATCTGATACTTGAGCCTCCATACTAAAAAAAAAAAAAGGAAAAAAAAAAAAAAAAGACTAAAAAAATGAAAATAAAAACAAATCCCAGGAAGCAGTGTGTGCAGTCGGTGTCGTCCTTCTTTCCTTCCTTCCTTCCTGCTGCGGTGCTCGGCGTTGGTTCTGTGAATGCTTCTGGATGGTAGATGTGTGCTTGGGAGCACCAAGCCCAGCTGTAACGCAAACAGCTGCTGTGTTACGTGGCTTTAAGAGGTTAAAAAGCTGAAATGCGTTTGTTCTGAGCAGGATTGCTGTAGGCTGGGTCGCCCTGCTGCGTTAGCATCCAGCTGATGCACTGAGAGCAGGATGAGGGCGCTTTGCTGGGGGGACTGGTTTGTTGCAGGCAGAGGAGGAAGGGGTGTTTGGGGCCAGGGCTGCTCGGTGGGTTCAGGTGAGGCGGTTCTGATGATGATGCTCTTTAAGAGCTGCTCCTCTGCTTTGTGTGTGGTTTGTGAGCGTTGTTCCCTGTTTTGTGAAGTTGGAGATAAGCTCATGGGAACTCCTGAAGCTTAACAGCAGCGTGTGAGCCGGGTGGGGGAGAGGCAGCGTTCTGCTCCTGAGACCCAATTACAGCTCACATCTGTGCGTGTTTGTTTTTGGGACTTCTTCACCTCCTCCAAAGCCACCTGCCTGCACTCGAGCCACAAATGAAACTGAGCCCCCATGGGCTTAACATACTTGTGGCATCCAGGCTCCCTGTGGCCCCTGTGCAGGGATGTGTCCCTTCACTGAGCAGGTTGAGAGGGCTGAGCTGCAGCCATTCATTCCTTTCTAGGCTCACAGCAGCATCACCTACCAGCGTGGGTATCTGCAGCTTCTGCTGGCCTAAGCCTGCTGCTGAGTTTTGTTTGGATTTTGGGACAAGTTGGTTTATAGCTGTGCCTTTGCCATTTCAACGTGACACCCAAACTCTTCCCAAAATGGGAAATAGCACATTCGTTTGGGAACAGGGCTGCATCACAGCCTCAGAGGGACCAGAACCTCAGCAGGACCCTCATTGGGCTGCTCTGCACTGTGTGCTTCCACCCGCTGCCAGATGCAGAGAGCTGGGTGCCCCACGACTTGTGCTTTGGTTACACTGGGTGAATGACTTTTGTTTTTATATCTCCTTAGGTTGAGGTTCTTCCAGCTTTAAGAAAGCCTTTGCTAACCCGTGCTTGGCCAGGAGAGCAGCTGGAGGGAGGCAAGAGGAAAGCGAGCCCTGCTGGGGAAACTGCCATGGAACAGAGGAGAAAAACTCACCACTCTGTTTCAGGAAGGTCGAGGAGTCTGGAAACAAAGGGGTGAGCTCCAACCACGGGCTGCTGTGGTTTTAATTAACTGCTGTTGCAGTGGTGTCAAGCAGTCCCACGTAGCATCCAGGCTCTGTGCCTTCCTTGAGAGGGCAGGCAGGGCGAGCGGCGTGGTGGTAGGAAAGCTGGAGAGTGAAAAAAGGGGAAGAAAAAGACGAGCGAATGGAAAGTGTAGGAAAGTTCCCATGTGTGGGACAAGCTGTGCTGGTTTCCTTTCAGCCCTGCTGTAACAGGGCTGTGTTGGCAATGCCAAGAGGGCTGCATTCAGTGCTGGTTGCTTCCCAGCACTTGACCTCCTTGCTCCTGGAGTTTGAGAGTGCTGAACCTCCTCCCTGCACGCTCCTGTCTCGCACCAGGACAACAGACCAGCTTCTCCCAAATCCCATATGAACAAAACAGGGGTGAGACAAGATGAAGAGTCCAAGCGTTTCATGGAAATGGGGACTAATGAGAACAATTAAGAGGCAAGGAACTGACACATGAACCAACAGAACACAAAGGCACGTGGGGCAATGTTTTATGGAAGTCTGAGCCGTACCAATAACGTGAAACGCTTTGGCTGCCCTGCACCTTCCTTTCCTTGTTCCAAGGGGTTCCAGTCGCTGCCCCATCTTCCAAAAGTCCAAAGGCAGCAACCACACAGTGATGGTTGGCCACCCCACGCCCTCTGCAGGGCTCAGCACAGGGAAAGGCGACCTCCTGAGGTATCTGATTGCTTTCTCATTGATCCACCGCTGGTATCAGAGGGGCTCGAGGTCTCACAGCAGCAGTGCGTGCCACCAGGCCAGGCAGAACGTCTCAGCAGCACCAATCCATCTCTGCCCTGCATCCCCCTCTCCCCAGCACCACGCAGAGAAGAGGACAGGACCAGGAGCTCTGCGGTCACCCTGTCAGCTGTCACCGTGCTCAGCAAGCAGTGCCTCGCGCTCCTCACCAGCGCTGGGCCGTCCTGTGCGATAGGCGAGGAACTGGAACGAGATCTGAGGAGGCCTTAAGGATCTTTGCAAGGTGAGGATCGGCACAACAAGCCTGCAGGGGCCGTTTGCACCGTGAGAACAATGAGCTGAATGCAGCTATAAGCAAAGCATTCAGCTCTTGCAACACTGCATTAGTTACAAGCGTGGGATGCAGGAAGTCACAGCCCCAAAAACCATCCCCACCCTGAAGGAAAACATGGAGGAGGAAAGGATACGATGACATCCAGGGAGAGGACACCCAGGCTGCCGATGAGCCAGGGCAGGTGATGCAGGATGTAGTCACCTTCGCTCTGCCCTGGCTCCGGGTTCTTCAGCAGCACACTGGTGCCGTACAGCAAGTTCCCCAGCATCACCAGGGCAAAGAGCAGGAAGGAGACACCGGCCGTGGATTTCCTCCGGTACTGGAAGGAGAGGCTGTGTTACATGGAAATAAGCACTGAAATCTACTTATCCATTTGGTGTTAATCATCCCGCCATGGGAAAAGAGAAAATGGGAACTGACGCGGTGCTGAGTGCCTTTTGGTTCCCTTTTTGCTGGCAGATGTGGAAAAAAACAAAAGCTCCACGCTGACAATATTGTTAAGTTGGAGGGGAAGGAAAATGAATCGGGCTTCAGAGCATGCTGTGACACAGTGAGAAATAAGGGAGCTGCAGCCAGCAAGCAAAGAGGAAGGAAGAAACTCGCTGCCCTGTTCAGACCAAGACTTTGTGCGTCTCCTGCCCTCACTTACGTTGGTGTAGATCTGGGGGAGCCGGGAGCAGAGGTACAGCACAGAGGAGACGGAGCCAATGGTGAAGCCGACGATCTCAGTCTTGCTGATGGGCTGTGGACAAGGTCAGCCCTGAGCAAGGCCTCACGGCCACCCACACTGGGACTCCCCCAGCCACCCCCATGTCCCACCTCAGGGCCAGGCCCCTCCGGGCCCAAGGAGAGCAGAGATCTCCCTCTGAAGGCCGCAGGATTGAGGGCTGGGCCTGCGTCGTGGCTCAGCACCGTGAGGGTCGTGGCTGTTCCCAGCAGGGAGAAGATGCAGGCGGCGTTGATGGAAACTGTGGCTGTGGGGAGACAAGTGGGGGATGCTTGAGGTAGGCTGTTCCTTCTGCAGGGCTGGGTCTGGTGCTGGGAGCGAGTCTGAGCCCTCTTATCTCCATCTGCGGCGTTGGGATCCAGCAGTGGGGCATGTGGGTTTTTATCTCAGTGATAAGAGTCATCTGTAACTTAGCGGGGAGGAAACCACTCCTATCTCAGCAGTTTCTGTGGTTTAGGGTTAAAATCACTCCAAGCTTTTTGCTAACTGTTCTGCCACGCTGCCCCAACCCTGCAGCCCACCCAGCTAAGGGACGGGGGTAAGAGGGGCTCCGTTTTTGTCACAGAATGGCTTAGGTTGGAGGGGATCTCAAATATCACCCAGTTCCAACCCCCAACCTGGCCTTGAACACCACAAGGGATGGGGCACCCCGCGCCTTGGGGGCGTCCCCAAGGTCCCCTTGCCCCACTTATGTCCCCACAGATGGGCGTTAGCCACAGCTCACCTCCTGCACTCCAGTTCTTGGCTTTATAATAACCATACAGGGAAAGCATCACCAGGTCTGCCAGCACGTAGTACACAGCGGTGTACACCTGCAGAACAAGGACGGGAGCTCTGAGCACACCCAGACCCCAGCCTTGGGGACAGGGGAGCGATGCAGGGCAGAGCTGAGGGCACCTGCAGGGGCAGCTGGTTTGCCAGGAAGGAGCCGATGAGGTTCAGGAGGTCTCCACCAAGCCAGCCCAGCAGGAAGTAGATGGAGAGCGCCCGGTCCATGATGCCTGTCTTGCAGGCTTGGTAGAACTGCCTGCAGGAAGGACACAAAGCATCAGCTCCAACCTGTTCCATACCCCTTGAGGACCTCGTGGGGTTTTTCTCTTGCTCCCAGCACTCAAACGTGAGGCCTGACAGAGTGAGGGCAAAAAGCTGGAGCACAGATTGTAACGAGAGCTCTAGAACGGCTTGGGTTGGAAGGGTTAGGTTAGAAGGGACCTTAGGGACCATAGAACCACAGGATGGTTGAGTTGGGAGGGTCCTTAAAGATAATGTAGAACCATGGGATGGTTGGGTTGGGAGGGTCCTTCAAGATTACACACACACAGGTTGGCTTTGGCTGGAAACCGCCTCCATTTCCTCTGCACTCAGCACACCCAGACCACCAGAACTCTCTCCCACGACCCCTTCCTCGTCCCCCACGTCCCTCCAACCCAACCCCAAAGCTGGGCACTCACGGCAGCGCGGCAGCAGCGAAGCAGCCGATGGAGATCAGCCCCAGCAGCGCGCTGCCCACATCGCGCCCGTCCCGTGCGCACTCGCCCAGCAGCCGCAGCACCCAGCGGGCGCCGTCGGGGCAGTCGGAGCCATTGCCGGGTGGAGGCGATGCCCAGAGCCCCTCCGCCATGGGGAAACGGAAAATACGGGCAGAAAAGGAGGCAACGCCTGGAAGAACATTTATGCGTGACGGTCACGGAGCGACCGGACCGAGCTGAGGTTGGTTGTAACGAAGCCCGAACCGCACCATCACCCCCTTACCTCGCTCGCTGCTTTTGGTTTGTTTGTGTTTGTTTGTTTGTTTTTAAGGGGAAAAAGTTACTTTTTGAGAAATCTGCTGCTTTCCAGAAGTTGGGATGTTGTTGTTTTTTGTTGTTGTCTTTCTTTTTCGTTCTGGAAGTTCCGCTCTCCCCAGAAGCGCGCTGATTCCTTACAAACCGCCGGCTTTAGTGGCCAAACAGCGGCGTTCCGCCAAACTTCGGCTGTTTTTCCCAAATCCACCCGTTTTCGCAATGAGATCCTAAGACCCGGCGGAGCCGCACTGCGCATGCGCGCTCTCTCATAGCCCCTCCCACTCGCAAAGAGGGCGGGGCCTGACCCTCCCCGCGCGCATGCGCAATGTGGGCACGGCGAGCTCCTCCCTCCCTCCCCGCGCATGCGCAGTGCCGACGGCAAGATGGCGGCGGGCGGAGCGCGGCCGGGGATCGTGCTGGGCGCGATGGAGATGGGGCGGCGCGCGGGCCCTGAGGCGAGTTCCGCCATGTTGCGCGCCTTCCTGCGGCGCGGACACCGCCTGCTCGACACCGCCCATATGTACGCGGGCGGGGAGTCCGAGCGCATCCTCGGCACGCTGCTGGCCGGCGGGGAGCAGTCGGGTACGGGACGGGTTGTGAGGAGAAAAGCGCGGTCTGTGGCGTTATGTGGGGGGAGGTGTCTCCCCCTGGCCCCGAGGAGAAGGGAGTCCCTGATTGCTGTGGTAAAAGGGACTGGTTTTGAACGGTGGATCCCTGATTCCTGAGGAGAAGGGCTTTCTTTGCTGGACTGAGGTGTTTCTGAGGTAAAGAGGCCGTGGTTTGTATGGTAGAGCCCTGATCCATGAGGAGAAAGGTCTGTCCCGTGAGGCTGGCATCTTCCTGAGGAGAAGGGCTCCGTTTCCATGGTGGTCCCCATTTCCAGGGCAGTCTTCCTGAGGAACAGGGCCTCTGCTCAGCATTTCTGAGAAAAACAGACCTTGGTTTGCATTGCAGAACTCCTGGTCTGTGAGGAGAAGGGTCCTCCCATTGTGCTGACGTATTTCTGAGGAAAAGGGGCCTCAGATTTTAGGGCAGATCCCAGGGCCTCAAGGAGAAGGGTCTGCTCTGTTATCCTGAGGTATTTCTAAGGAAAAGAGAGCCTGGTTTGTATGCAGACCCCCAGTCCCTGAGGAGAAGGACCTCCCTCTGCAGGCTGATGTATTTCTGAGGAAAAGGGCCTTTGATTTTGGGACCCCAAGGAAGAGGGTCCCACTGACATTGTGTTTCCAAGAAGAACATGCTTTGAAAGCACCCTGAGCACACTGTACCCCATTCCCATCCGGGTTTGGGAACATCACTGCTCATTCCTCCTTTCCCTTTGCAGTGGAAGTGGCCACCAAGGCCAACCCCTGGGAAGGGAAGACACTGAAGCCAGAGAGTGTGCGGTCACAGCTGAACACATCCCTGGAGAGGCTGCAGAGGACGAGCGTTGAACTCTTCTACCTCCATGCCCCCGACCACGGGACCCCAGTGGAGGAAACGCTGCGTGCCTGCAATGAGCTGCACAAGGAGGTAAAGCAGAGCTGAGGCTGCTGCTTGTTTCCTTCCTGACACTTCTTCAGTGCTTGCTGTGCTCCTGTGCAGTGCAGGGTGTGCGTGGTGCTCAGGAGAAGGAGGCCAGGTGACCAGGGGAGTGCCAAGAGCTGCGGCACTGCTGCATGTTCACGTGGTGCCCTTTGCTCTCAGGAGCATTGGAAAATGTTGGAACTGATGAACTTTGCTTTCTGCTGTGTTAACTGAGCCAGTTAATGTTATTCTCATAATGGGCAGGGAAGAATTCATCAACTCCATTAGTCTGAGAATTGAAACTGGAAGGTGTGAATTCAAAACATAAAATGAGGGTTATGTTTTTGTCAGGTGTTACATTGCAGTGGGACCAACTGAGAGCTCTGGGCTGACTTTCAGTGGTGTCCCCTTCACCATACACGTTTTGCATTTCACAGGTTTTCATTTCATAGGTAAACTGTTTTAAAAGCTGGATCTGAACACTTTTTTGTTCCTCTGCAGGGAAAGTTTAAAGAACTCGGCCTGTCCAACTACGCAGCGTGGGAGGTGGCAGAAATCTGCACCATCTGCAAGTGCAACAACTGGCTGATGCCAACTGTGTACCAGGTGAGGTCTGTGGGAACCCTGTGCTCTGTGTTACAAACACAGGGGAGCTGCTGCAGTTAGCCCAGGGAGTCCTTTTGGGACGTGGATTTAGAGAGCTGGGTGAGATCACTGCCCAGAAAGAGCTGAGTGTGTGCTTCGTGCTTGAGTCAGTGACTCTCGTGATGGGGAACTGAAGTAATTGTTGCATTGTTTGCAGTCCTTTAGAAAGTCTGTTCCTAGGGAATTAATCATGTTGTCTGACCTGAATCCACCCTTCTGGGTGAAAGAACTCAGAGAAGGGTGGGGAAGAAGCTGTCCTGGCTTCTTTAAAGCACCATTGATCAAACACCCCTCCACTGTGAAAGGGAATCACATTTCTGAGGAGGAATTTTGCTGCTGCAGTTGTTTGTCTTGGTGAAATGCTGAATTATTTTGCCAGGGTGAGCATCTGCTGCAAGGGCAGATCCCAGGATGTTGGGTTTTGTTTGTGAGCAGCCATTAAAATGAGAGGAAAAGCAGGATGAAGCATAGAAATGCATAACTTTACCCGTTAACTGCACTGCTGGCAGGCAGGCTTGGGGTCACTGCTAGATGTCACCCTGGTACCACCTGATAAGCAAATCCAGGTCGTGGTTTAGCAGCCAGGATTTGTGCTGGGAGGTCTGAGGTCACCCCGTGCTCTTTGTGCAGGGCATGTACAACGCAACCACCCGGCAGGTGGAGCTGGAGCTGTTCCCTTGTCTGAGACACTACGGGCTGCGGTTCTACGCCTACAATCCGTTGGCTGGTAGGGGGAGCTGTGACGGGAGGGATGTGGCTGTGGGTAACCGAAAGTGGCCACGGGGTTTGTTAAGGCGTCACCTGGATTGGAGATGCCTGGCTGGGCGCGGAGGCTCTGAGACGAGGTGGTGCCTTGGAGGGCAGCGTAAGAGCTGGTGCTGAACATGCTGCTGACACTTTGCAGGAGGGCTGCTGACTGGGAAGTACAAGTATGAGGACAAAGACACACGTCAGCCCACTGGAAGATTTTTTGGGAATGACTGGGCTCAAGTCTACAGGGACAGGTGTGTCCTGAGCTGATGAACAGGGAGCTGGGGCTGCATTTAAACAAAACCACCCGAATCCTAATGATCAGCTGGGGGGGAACAGAACGGACTCAAGCTCACCCTGTGATTCTGCAGGCTCGTGTCCTTTCTCAGTGGCTGCAGGGCAGCCTTTGTGCTGCTGCCACCCAGGGTTGGGGACACGGAGCACCTCGCTTCCTCCTTTCGGAGGCGGTTGGGCTGTGCCTCGTGACTGAGCTTTGCAGTGCAGTTTTTAGGGTCAGCTTCCCCCTGCCTGGATTGCAGAAGCCTGGGGGCTACAAACAGCTGTACAAAGCTTTTTCAGAGGCCTTTCACTCTTGCTTGGAATTTATGATTCTCGAGGGCAGTGATGTTGATTTATTTATTTTTTCCTTCTTGCAGGTACTGGAAGGAGCACAACTTTGAAGGAATTGAACTAGTAGAAAAAGCTCTGAAGGATGCTTATGGTTCCAATGCACCAAGCCTGACCTCGGCCGCACTGCGTTGGTTGTACCACCACTCCAAGCTGCAGGTCAGAGTTGAACAGCATTCAGAATTTGGCTAGGGAAGCAAGCTGGGGTTATTTTGGGATGAACGATTCCCCTTCTGGCTTCACAGGGCGCTCTTGGAGACGCGGTGATCATTGGGATGTCCAACATGGAGCAGCTGGAGCAGAATCTGAACTACAGCGAGGAGGGCCCACTGCTGCCACCTGTAGTGGAGGCGTTCGACAAAGCCTGGAAGCTGACTGCACACGACTGCCCCAACTACTTCCGCTAGACTGGGGAGGGGAGAGCAGGCAGCCGAGCAGTAGGGAGCATAAATGTGAGGCTCTCATCCACACTGCCCTCGGGGTGGCAGGCTGTGATTTGTCCCATTAATGGAGCTTTGTAGGACCGGCCGTTCTGTGCCTACGCTGCCCCTGCCAGCACTGCAGGCGTGGGGCCTCGTGCTTTCTCCCCTTGGGGACCTTTCCCCAGCACATGCTGTGATTAAAAATGCACTTAATCAAGGGAAGTGGAGCACATAACTGAAGGGTTTAGTTCTGCTTTCAGTTAATAACGAATCTTGAGCGTGGATGAGAATAAACCATTTTTTCTAATGCAGTCACTGTCTCTTAACAGCAGAGCTTTAATCTGTTTTCCAGTTCAGAAAAAAAACTGAGCCAAAATGTCTGCAGAGCTAAAACTGACCCTAGTGTGAAGCAGAACTGTGGCGCAGGGCAGAGCTGGCTCCCCACGAGCTGTGGAGGCCAACTTGGGCCTGAAACGTATCTCCCATTCCTCAGATCCCACTGTACTCAATAACAGGCAGCACTGGCAATTTCTGAGAGTTTTATATACGTTTTTATATAAAAAGTAGTTAGATCATCTTTAAGAATGCCGAGTTAATCACGTGTCCTGCTGCAGACAGGGAAGGAAAACATCCTCATCTTTCAGCTCTCAAATAGAGCTGTCTAGTGTCCGAGCACAAGGACTGCTACGAGTCCTCACTGATGTCAACGTCCTCCTCTTCTTCCTCCTCTTCTTCCTCTTCTTCCTCCTCATCTCCTGCGAGTTTCTGGAAGTCTCCGGTCTCAGAATTCCACAGGAATTTGATGGTCACTTTGAACTCTGCCATCTCGTAGCCGAAGAGTTTCTAGGAAAGGACACAGACTCGTCAACCCCGCGGCCAGGCCGATGGTACAGATATTAGGTAAGCTGACAGTGAGAACCACACACAACGGTGCATTTCCCTGGGGCAGTGACTGTGCCTGCAGGGCTGTGTTGCATTCTCACCAGGACCCGTGCTTGCTCGGGGGTCAGAATGTCCCCTTCTTTGCAGACTTCATAATCTGAAAGCAGCGTCACCACTCCTGCAAGAACAAAAGCTCTTGAAACAGGCTAAGAAAACCCACATCTGGCTTCTCAGTGGAACAGTGCGTCGCTGTTTGCACTGCAGAAGCAGAGCACAAGGCTTCCTTCCTTCCTGTGACAGCAGTCGGGGAAGGCTGACGCAACAGGAAGAAAACAAGGCTTTGAGCGCCAGCTTTTCTCCAAAACTCAGTCCCAATGTACAATGTTCTCCTTAAAAGACTTTGCACAGACTCAGTGCAACAGAAGGGAAGCGGCTCCCTCACGTACCTTTCTTTAAAGCTGTTGGCAATCCCAGCTGTCGCAGCTGAGGCTCCATGGAATGGGGGAACTGCTCCAAGGGCCCCGTGTCCAGGCTGACGGTGTACGTCGCCTTGTTCCCTGCCCTCGCAAAGTCCACCTCCTTGAAGCTGGAGAACCACCTGAGGCAGATTGGCAGGCAGAGCTGCAGAAACGGCGGCCCAGGGATTGCTCTGGGTCGGGGGCATTTTTTGGCAGAGCAGAACAAGACGGTGCTGAGCTGTGGGCTTTGTGCTGCGTTCTGCTGATGGAAACGCCCAGAGGACCTGGGTGCAGCTCACGGCGGTGTCGATCAGAGCAGCAGTGAGGGAAGGAGCTGCCTGCGTGCATTTCAGGCTCAGCTGCACAGGGGCTTCACACACACACATACTTACTCATCCACCTCCTCCTTGGTGCGATTGGTGAAGAGGAGACCAACCTCCCCCCTCAGGTGCTTGCTGACCTGTGAGACAGGAGCACAGAGGTGCCGAGACAGCACTGAGACTCAGAGTTTAGGCTGGAAAAGACCTTCATGACCACTGCAACCCACCACATCCTGCAGTGCCACACCTACAGCTGTGCCTGTTCTGTTTCCAACTCAGACCCCCCACCTTATGCAGGTTCTCCCGATACTCGCTGCTCGGCTCCCGGCCCAGCGCCACCATCATCACTTTGTTCTTCCCAAAGAAGATCCTACAACGCAACGGAGAAGATGATGAAGACCAGAAGGCTGCGAGGCCCGTAGTGTCTCAACCCCCACCCCAGCCCTGGGCTCACCGGCTGTGCTTCCAGGCGTTCCGCACGTCCTTCAGCTTGTTGTTCCTCATGTTGGCCACGGAGAAGATGAAGATGTGTTTGTAGGTGTCCACGCATCGCCGCAGCTGCACGACAGCGGTTAGCAGGGCCGGAGGGATGGGGGGGGGGAGCGGGGTAGCACGACTCACCTCAGCGATCAGGGCCTGCTTGGCTTCCAAACCCTTCCTGGGCGTCCGCGTCAGGGACACTGCGGGGAGCGGAGCGGGAGGATGCGGTTAAAGGGGAAGGGGAAGGGCGGCACCGCGGTCCGGGCTGCGCGCTCACCCTTGCGGTCCCGCTTGGACTTCGGCATGGCACCGCCGTGCTTCGAGGCCCCCCGGGCGCCGCGGGGGCTGCCGGGATGTTGCGGGCTGCCTCGCGCGATGCCTGAGCGCAGCCGCACGCCACTCTCCGTCCAATTCCGCTCAGGCGGCGCGCGGGACAGCCCCGTAAGGCGCGAGGCCCCTAGAGCTCAGAGCGGGGCACGACGGGAGCGCTGCCATGGCGGCGGGGCTGTGGGCGCTGCTGCTGCTGCCGCTGGCGGCCGCCGTGTACGAGGACCAAGTGGGGAAGTTCGACTGGTGAGTGCCGGGCCCACACCGCGGGCTTCTCCCCGCGACTCGCGCCGGTCTCACGCTGCCCGTCCCCGCAGGAGGCAGCAGTACGTGGGGAAGCTGAAGTTCGCCTCTCTGGAGGCCGCGCAGGGCTCCAAGAAGCTGCTTGTGGGCACCGAGAAGAACGTGGTGGCAGCGCTCAACTCCCGCAGCGGCGAAATCCGTGAGTGGGGCGGGGGGGCCGGGCACGGGGTGCTCGGGGTGGGCCTGCGGTGCTGCTGAGGGCGGCTGCTCCTGCAGCTGTATTCTGCCGGTGAGTTGTTTGGGGTGGAAAAGAGCTCCTGGATCCCCCGACCCAGCCGACCGTCCTGCTGCCCGTGTCCCTCAGTGCCACATCTCCACACTGAGCTGCAGGGATGGTGACCCCACGCCTCCCTGTGCAGCTGTGCCAACACATCATCGCTATTTCAGAGCAGAGGTTGTCCCTGAAGCCCAACTTGCACCTCCCACAACGGGCAGTGAGGACACGGCTGTTTGGGAAGTCCTGAGGCTGCGGGTTTGAGAGCAATAACCAACAGCTTCGTTGTGCCCACCTCCTTCTCACTTTCTGTGTCTCTCAGTGTGGCGCCATGCAGATAAAGCCACCCCTGAAGGAGCGATCGACGCGATGCTGATCCACGGGCAGGGTGAGGAAATCACAGCGGCAGCACACAGGAGCCGTCCTGCTGCCAGAGCTCCCGGCTCTGCTGCCCCGTGCCGGGCGCAGCTTCTGGGTTCACCTCCCCTTTGCTCTCTGTGCAGATGCCATCACCGTATCCAGCGCTGGGCGCATCCTGCGTTCCTGGGAGACCAACATTGGAGGGCTGAACTGGGAGACGTCGCTGGACACGGGCAGGTAGTGTTGGTCGGGGCTCTCTCCCACCTTTGTCCCAGGGATAAGTTAGCATTAAGTTAGCAAGCTTAACATACCTGGACTGCAGGACAACAGCTGGGAGATTAGACTCTGAAAATCTGGATGTTGTGAGAGCAGCTGGTTGGTGGTTGCATCCAGGGCTCTGTTAACTCCCACTGATGAAAATGCGGCCTTTGGGCATCTTGCACGCACAGATGATGAAGTAACTCAGAAGCTGTAGGTAGTATAGCTATTAAGTGTCCAGAAAAAGAAAAATTCACCCTGTTTGATAACCTGCAGACTCTCTAATTTATCACTTCTGACTTATGCTTAGTTTCCAGACCGCAAGTCTGGTGGGGCTGCAGGACGCAGTGAAGTACGTGGCAGTGCTGAAGAAGGCAGCCATCTCCCTGCACTACCTGTCCAATGGGCACCAGAAGTGGGTAGAACACCTGCCAGAAAGGTGAGAATGTATTTGAAGCAGAAATTTCAGATTCAGAGCCTGACATCTTGGGAGGAAAAGATGCTGCGGTTCCCTCATGTTCTTGAAAACCTTTGGAAGCAACAACATGAGAAAACGACGCTTTGTGACCTTTGTTTCTCTCACAGTGAGAATACTCAGTACCAGATGTTATATTCTCGTGGGGCTGGAGTGATCCACGTGCTTGGAGTTGTCCCCCAGAGCCATTTGAAGGTTTTAACGCTCAGAGTGGAGGATGGAGAAGTCATAGAACAGGTAGTGCTCGATTATGGATCCAAAACAGCAAATTTGATACGAACGAACACAGTGCGTGGAGTTGTGTCAGTGAGTTCATTCCTTAAAGACAGTTTTGCTGTTGACATCTTCGTCTCTTGATGTCTCTCCTGGCAGACCAACGTAGCAGCGCCGTGGCTGACGAGCTTAAATGGAGCCTGCGGTGTGGTGGGGGAGGCAGTGCTGGTGTGTGCAGACACAGCCACTCATTCGCTCTATGTTTGCTCCTTGGAGACTGAGCAGGAGATGAAGCAGATCCCGCTGCAGGTAAGCAGTGCTGAGGGACTTCATATGCACTTATCCAGCTGATTTGGTGCCTGCCTGCACCTTGGAGCACAGCGGTTCTCCTACAGGTAACCTGCACAGCGACTGAGGATGTGTGTGATCCATAAGAGGGAGAAAACTGTACGTTGTGTCTGTCTTAAATCAGTTTGTCTGGATCGGTGTTGGCACAGCCTCGCTTCAACAGCAGTCCAGATCTTATTGCTTTTGCTCTTTGTTTCTCATGATGGATGTAACTTCCTCACAAAGCGTCCGTTGCTGCTGATGAAAGGAAGCGATTCGTTTGACGGGGGAAGTTTTCATGAATGCACGTGCTTGTTTTCCTTCCACAGTCACTTGACCTGGAGTTTGCTGATGGCTTCCAGCCCAGGATCTTGGCTACTCAGCCCAGTGTGATCAACGCTTCGAGGGCTCAGTTCTTCCTGCAGCTGTCTCCGGGCCACTTCTCTCTGCTGCAGTGCAAACAGGGGCTGCTCAGCCACCTGCGAGACTTCCAGCAGGTAACCAGGAAAAAGGCATTGCACTGAGAGGCCAACAGAGCTTACCATTCCTTACAACAGCCAAACGCCCCTCTGCGTTCCGACCAAGCTGCCGAATTTCTCTTTTCACTTGTGCTCTCTGCTGCAGCATTTGGAAAGCATTTGGTTTTATTTATATCATCTGCTGACACGTTTCCAAGCATTTGTTTAGTTGTCCTTTGTTGCTGACAGCTATCCTGGGTTTGGGGTGAATGGTTGCTGTGTTTATATTTGAGGAATGTTTTCAGCTTCAGGGAGGTTTTCTTGTCACGCAACACAAAACTTGGCCATGAAATCTCATCTCCTGTTAGCTGCAGTCTGGATTAATTTGCTACACAGGTAGTTTTTGTTGAGTTTTTGTCTTTTCATGGTGTTGTATGACTTATTGCTGCTCTTTTTCTTTTTTTTCAGGCAGCTCTGGTGAGCTTTGCAACAACTGGGGAGAAGACTGTTGCTGCTGTGCTGACCTGTAGGAACGAACTGGTGGGTACAGCTAGTCAGAACTGTGTGTTCAGCACAGCTCTGTGATCTGAACGTGCCTTGGGAGTGGGTTCCACACTTGTATTGCTTTTCAGGCCTGGATGATGAGTAACTTTGGAAAGAGTGAGATTTAATGCAGTGGTAATGCATGCAGATCTTGGTTACACCCAGATAAGGCTCACCTTGTCTGAATGTTGGTGTGCAATGTAGAAGCCCACCTTACTGATCTGCAGCGGATTTCAGTTCTTATGGGCACTGAGCTGAGCACAGCCTCGTTTTTAGCAGCACTGTCTGCTGTTTGCAGAGCCAACCTGAGACTTGTCAAGCACACAAAGCACTTTATTTCTCATTCTCTCATGGTGTGTGGAGTCACGTTACCTCCTGTCTTCCTTGTTTCAGAAACCTGGAAGTTCTGACGGCCTTCATGGAAGTGCTTTGGAGGATTCCCAGAAACAGGTATGAGGGGGGTCGTTCCCACATGCAGTAGAAGTTCTTGACAGTCCCTTTCCTTCCTTTCCTTGTGGGAACATAGAGCATAGAAGATGTTAAACCTGGGTTTTGGAGGCTGATGTTTCACGCCAGCTCCAGATAAATAATCTAAAAGCATTTTGAAGCCATAGTTCTTGCTCACATGAGATTCTGCTGCAGAATTTGGCGTGACAGGTGAGTTTATCTCAGCATTTTTCTGCACGATGTTACAGGAATCCTTAACCTGTTCCAATCAAACCTACAACATCAATCTTTACCTGGTTGAAACTGGACAAAGATTGCTGGATACCACGATTACCTTTAACCTGGAGCAGAACGGTGCCAAGCCAGAGCAGGTGAGTGGGAAAAGATTGCTTCAGTCCTGTGATCTGTGGGGCCTGCAATGCCCTTCATACCCTGACATGGCATCATTGGGAGGGCTGTTGAGATCAGGTGAAAACATTACTGCATGCAGCTGTGCTGTTTGCTCTTCTTTCACCTGAGGGTTCGCTTTTATCCAGGCAGATGCTGTGATCACAGATCTGACTGCTTGGTTTACTCTTTTTCTTTTTCCCTCAGCTCTATATCCAGGTTTTCCTGAAGAAGGATGACTCGGTCGGCTACCGAGCCTTGGTGCAAACAGAAGACCACATGCTGCTGTTCCTCCAGCAGCCAGGTGATTGGCACAAACAGCAAACCTGGCCTGGGTTTTACCAGCAACCTTCTTGTTCTGGAGGAGAAGAAAACTCCAGTGCTGTAGAACCCAGGCCCCATGTTTTAGGATTGCTTTCTTTGGAAACTGATGTGCTGTGGAAGATACTGCAGTCTTGCATCATCTTTCACCCTCAAAAGATGTCTCAGCTAGGACAGCTGTTCTGCTGTGCTCTTTGTACAGGGAGAGCCTGTCATTTTTATGGTGTTTTATTGTTAGTTTAGGGGGTTGGGTTTTTTTTTTGGGAGGATGAGGGCACAGATTTCAAACATGTTACCATAGGGTGAGTCTGAGCCATGTTGTAGATCTTGGTGTTTCTGCAGATAACACATACTTGCAGGAAGGGCTGGAGGTCCATCTCAGGGATGGGAATGTCCCAGGGCTGATGTCCTTACGCTTCATTTTGATTTTTCCAATATCCTGTACTTGTTTTTTTTTAACCAGGAAAGGTTGTGTGGAGCAGAGAGGAGTCGCTGGCAGAAGTGGTGAGCTTGGAGATGGTGGATCTGCCTCTGACGGGTGCACAGGCTGAGTTGGAGGGAGAATTTGGGAAGAAAGCAGGTGAGCCGTAGACTAATGGAATCACCCTTCAGCGTGTGAGCCTGTTTGTTTTTCTCTCTGAAGAAATGTATCATTTTCTTTTTCCTCTGAACTCAGATTAAGATTCAAATTTCCCCTCCTGGCAATTAAAGCGAGCAGAAATAAACCCATTTCTGCCTTGACTTTTAAGTCTGATGCCAAAGGCAGAGGACACAAACGTATTGCAGTCAGAACCAATCACCATCTGTGGGTGATCTCCACCACTCCCCCTAAACGTTTCCCTTTGATCCCCTTAGAGAGCCCTTTCTGGAAGACCCATTTGCAATAGCTTTTGTTTTTGCTTTGTTTTGTTCTCCTCGCTGTCCTGGATGCAGCTATTCAAGGTAACCTCAGACTGCATGCAGTGTTTTCTAATTGCTTCTAACTAACATTTCTCAGTGGAACTTGATTTTCTTTCTGTTTGCATTCCTAATAGTGAAATACGCTTCATGCCTGGTGTTTTGCTTCTTTCAAGTAGCTGAATATCAACTCTTATTGGACAGAATGGTGGTTTTTGATGTGTTTGTTTTTTTTTTTATCTTAACAACAATCATTTCTATTGATCTGAGTGATGGATGTAGAGGGGGATGCAGACCTCTCAGGTTGGTTGGCTTCGGGAGGGCACGAGCAAGAAGGGATATTAAAGAAGAGGTTATGTGCTCTAGATGAGGGTTTGCTTTCAGTTGATAAGAGCATAGCTGGGGCTGAGATGTAAGGGGGAGAAGGTTGGTAAAAGCCAGAGGGTCTGTGACAGAAATGGGTATAAATCTGCTGCTCTGGAGGGAAAGGCAGAGGAAAGCAGGTGGCGTAAATTCGTGCATGGCAGCGTTTCTTCTCCTGGCTGAGGCTGTAATCTCAGATATGGAGGGGGATGTGGGTGATTTCCCTTTGTTACCACCACTGGTCTGTTTGCAGATGGATTGCTGGGGATGTTTCTGAAGCGGCTGTCCTCCCAGCTCATCCTGCTGCAAGCCTGGACTGCTCACCTTTGGAAGATGTTCTACGATGCCAGGAAACCCCGGAGCCAGATTAAAAATGAGATTAACATTGACAATCTAGCCAGGGATGAGTTCAACCTCCAGAAAATGATGGTGATGGTCACTGCTTCAGGAAAGGTGAGGAAGCCAGAGCAGTACTCTGTTTCTATACTGTAGTGAAGAGCCTCAGTGCTGAATTTCCCCCCTGTTTTTACCTGGGGGTTGAGAATAATGTCTCGAAGATGTGCAGAGTACTTTGTGGTAGCTTTGAGGAGGAACTGAAACTCTTATTTCATACCCCAAAAGAAGGTGCAGTGCTTGAATGTGAGAGAAGTGTTCTTAACTTTTGGTTTTGCTCTATCTCTGCTCAGCTTTTTGGCATTGAAAGCAGTTCTGGCACCATCCTATGGAAGCAGTACCTCAGGAACGTGAGACCGGGTGCCTCCCTCAAGCTGATGGTCCAAAGAACAACAGCCCACTTCCCCCACCCTCCACAGTGCACCTTGCTTGTTAAGGATAAGGTGGGTCCCTCTCCTCTGCCCCTCAAAGCATGGTGTCTCATTACAGAAATGACTTCAGTGCTAAACAGAGTGCTCTGATGGAGCAGCTGAATTCTATTCCTTTGAATAATGAACAGTGGCAGAAAACTGGGAGAAAACCAGCTCTTTTGTCTGTCTTAGATAAAGTTCTGCATCTTGTTTTGGTTCTTAGGAAACCAAAATGAGCTTTCTGTACGTCTTTAACCCCATCTTTGGGAAGAGGAGCCAAGTAGCACCCCCTGTTTTGAAGCGTCCAGTTCTTCAGACTTTGCTTCTGCCTATTATGGATCAAGACTACGCCAAAGTACTGCTTCTGATCGATGATGAGTACAAGGTAAATTGCTTTGCCTGGAGGCAGTTTTCAGTGATTCCATTTCCTTTGGGAGCAGAACAACAAAAAAAATTGCCATGAAGTCCCATTTTACACAAAACTAGGGGGTTATTCTGGTAAGGCAGACCTCATCCTGCTTAACTGATTCAAAATAATCTGCTGTGTTTTCTGTTTGCCTGTTCATTTTTCACCTCTTCCCATTGTTCTTTGCTTTCCCAGGTTACAGCTTTCCCAGCAACTAAGAATGTTCTTCGCCAGTTGGAAGAAATGGCCCATTCCATCTTCTTTTATCTGGTGGATGCCGAGCAGGGAAAGCTCTCTGGATTCAGGCTGAAAAAGGTATGGAAGGAATATGACAATCTAAACGATGTCATCTTCTTAAATGCTGTTTGGGTAACAGTAGATCACTTGGTTTATTGTTTTTTGCTTGGAATAAAAGCAATTCAGCTGACTTGAGAATTCCTTCAAGCTTTAAAACGTGTCTCAGAAGCATTACAAAGGAAGCTCCTCATGTCTTACTGGTTGAGGTGGTGTCTGGTGAGGACAGATAAACTTTACCACGTGGTGCTTTTTTTTTTCTTGCAGGACTTGACAACAGAGGAGAGCTGGCAGGTGGCCATACCCACTGAAATACAGAGGATAGTGACAGTGAAAGGGAAGAGATCCAGTGAGCACGTGCACTCCCAGGGCCGTGTGATGGGAGACCGCAGTGTTCTCTACAAGGTGCTGTGGGAGCTTTCTGCTGATGCAAGATTTCGGCGTTTGTGGACACTGCTTTGAGCCTTTGCCACTTTGTTATTTCTTTCTATTTATATGCATCAGTATCTCCCATCTTCCCAAACAATGCTGATTGTGTTGCAGGTTTCTTTGGCAGTTTTTTTTTCTTGCTGCAATTAACTCATGATGGGGAAACTGCTTGATTTCTCCCTATTTGCTCGAATAGGGCTATTGGTGATATGCCTAGTTCAAGGTGAAAGGCAGATAATGCAGTGCCTGGGAGGTGAGGATCTTACCTGATTCTTCTTCTCTTGCTGCTACAGTCCTTGAATCCAAACCTGCTCGCAGTGGTGACAGAGAGCACCGACACGCACCACGAGCGCACTTTTGTCGGGATATTTCTGATTGATGGAGTCACAGGCAGGATCATCCACTCATCAGTACAGAAGAAAGCCAAGGGACCTGTCCACATCGTCCACTCAGAGAACTGGGTGGTGGTAAGGAGCGTTATTCTGTTCTTACTCTTGATTTTTAGGAGTTAGGGGGCAATTGCCAAACTTAACTGGAGAAGACTTTTGAACATCATCAGTGATTTCCTGCTACATCTCTGCTGTTGTGCCCTGCGTTCCTAAAATCCTGCTCTCATTTCAGTACCAGTACTGGAACACAAAGGCACGTCGGAATGAGTTCACTGTGCTGGAGCTGTATGAGGGCACAGAGCAATACAACGCCACGGCCTTCAGCTCCCTGGACCGCCCCCTCTTACCTCAGGTCCTCCAGCAGTCATACATCTTCCCCTCTGCCATCAGTGCTATGGAGGCCACCATCACCGAGCGAGGCATCACCAGCCGTCATTTGCTGAGTAAGTGCTTGCTGCTCTGGTCTGAACATGGCGGTTATTCTTGCATCAGTCAGGCACTGTGCTCAAAACCAGGCCAGTGTGCTGCTCTGGCCAAGATCTTGCTTGCCTGTGGGCTGCCCTGGATTCCTGGCAAGTGCTAGAACGTGCACTAGGAGAGTGTTTGTGTTACCTATTAGAAAATGCTGTCAGAACAGACAGTTTTTAAGATTCATTTCTTCTAACGTGCAGTCGGACTTCCCTCCGGTGCCATCCTCTCCCTTCCCAAGGCTCTGCTGGATCCTCGCCGACCAGAAATCCCCACAGAGCAGAGCAGGTAAGGAAGGCACAGCAGCTGTTATTCCTGTTTGAAGATGGATAGATTTTGTGTATAATAAGAGAACGTGATGTAGTGTTCAGTTGTGGGGCAATTCTTGCAGGAATTTAAGTGAAGCTGCTTTGTTCCCTGTATGTGACAATGGAATATATGTAATACAGCAGGTCTTATCATCAGCAAAAACCCTAAGAGACAAAAGTTTGAGTAACTGGCTGTTAGAGTGATACATAAAACATTAGAATCCTAAAAGGAGGCTGCTGCAGTGCAGTCTGACCCATCTGGCATATTTGATTGCTTTCTTGCAGCAAAAATAGATCTGCACTAGAGCAGAGCTGTTCATTTTGCTGTTTTAGGGCAGTAGGCCGTGCTGATCAGATGAGGAACTGCAGATGATGTCCTTTGCACGCTGTTTGGATGGGTTATGATATCTCTTTAAATGCCTTTCAGAGAAGAGAACCTGATTCCCTATTCCCCAGATGTGCAGATCCACGCTGAGAGGTTTATCAACTACAATCAGACCGTATCCCAAATAAGAGGGATTTACACAGCCCCCTCTGGTCTGGAGTCTACTTGTTTGGTGAGCACAAAGCAGCAGCTTCTGTGTGGAATTGTGCAGTTTGTGGGGAGAGCAGCAGGCAGTCTGTAACTTCTGATCATGTGGCTGCTCAGCGCTCCATAATTCCTTCTTTTAATCACAACTGCAGATATAGGATGATTATTTTATGAAATACCAGCTCATGATGATGTCTCTTTAGGTTGTGGCTTACGGCCTGGACATCTACCAGACCCGTGTGTACCCCTCAAAGCAGTTTGATGTCTTGAAAGATGACTATGACTACGTGCTGATCAGCAGCGTCCTCTTCGGGCTGGTGTTTGCCACAATGATCACAAAGAGACTGGCCCAAGTGAAACTGCTGAACCGTGCCTGGCGGTAGGGCTGCAGTCACAGAACAGTGGGGCTGGGAATGGCACCTGAGGACTGTTCTGGCTGAGGATCTGCGACCCAGCAGGGCTGTGGGGTTGTTACAAATTCCAGCTGGAGTGACTGCAATGGCTGCAAAACATCTTGCATTTTTACTGGAAGATACTTGAGAAGAGCTGCTCGTGCTGCCTGTAAAGAAATGGAAGAGAAACGGTGGAGAGACACCGTAATGTAATGACTTTAAAATCTCCCACACCACCCAGCAATCTCAGTTAAAGCCCTAAAATCTGCAACCTTCTTCTTTTCCTGATTTTAATGAAGGTAATACCAAGAATGTGTCTTTGAGGGCCCCCTGCTGCCTCAGAGCCCGCTGTGCCCGGACCTTGGGTGTGTGTGAGATGCGAGGATGAAATGAAATGAAATGAAATGAAATGAAATGAAATGAGCACACAGCTCATTTCATTCACAAGGCTAAAAATTTCCCACCTGCCCATGGGAAACTGCCTCTTAATTAAATTGTTGGGGTGTGGGAGCACTTGGAATGTAAAATCTCACCACGTTCTTTATTTATTACGATTAAAACATTACTTTCTTCCGGTTTTTAAATGTTTCTGCATTGCAACTGTAACACAGTGTACAACTGTGGGCCTCTTAAACACGAAAAGCACCACTGGGACGTGGTTTCTGGCAGCACAGATCCACTTCTCAGCAGGGTTCGGACCCGCAGCCTCTGCGGGGCTTCTCATCTCCGTGTGAGATTTCAAACCCCCCTCAGCGCCCCCTGGGGCTGTGATTGGCCCCGCCTCCTTCCCGCCTTCAGTTGTGCGCATGCGCCGCTAACCGCGCGCAGTACCGCGCATGCGCCACCCCTAATCCTGCTGACTCACGTACTGCACAGGCGCATAGGCTCGCCGTTCCTCCTCCAATCAGGGTACTGAGCGCGCGCATGCGCTTTGCCTCACTTCCTGTCTCGCTGCTCTCAGTGGGGGGGGCGCTTCCGGCCCGTTCCCTCCCCCCCCCCCCCCCTCCCCTCGGCCGCCGCCGCCCCCCCCGGCGCAGCACAGCGGCAAGATGGCGGCGGGCGGCGGCGCGGCGGAGCCGGGCTGGGAGGTGGCGGTGCGGCCGCTGCTCTCTGCCTCCTACTCGGCCTTCGAGATGAAAGAGCTCCCTCAGCTTCTCGCCTCCGTTATCGAGAGGTGAGGACGGTAGCCGCGGGGTGGGCACCGGGCCTTGCTTCCCTTCAGGCTGTGTGCGGCCCTGAGGTGTTTTGGCTCTGCTGCGTGGGGCCGCGCCTCGGTGCTGTGTGCGGGGTTGGGTCCCTCGGTGTAAGAAAGGCGTTGGGGCTCCAAAGAGTGGAGCTGAGAGACGTGTGTGCTACGGGGAGCTGAGGGAAGGGGGTGGGTCGGGCTGGGGAAGGGGAGGCTCTGAGAACTCATCGCTTTACGGCTCCTAGAAGGAGGCTGTGCTGAGGTGGGATCGGCCTCTGCGCTTCTCCGGTGATAGGATGGGAGGGAACGGCCTCGGGTTGCTGCACCAGAAGAGCAGTGATGTGCTGGCACGGGGGTCACGGGCCATGGAGGTGTTCGGTGTGGAGATGTGGTGCTTAGGGATGTTGCCAGTGGTTACACGGGGTGGGTTGGGGTCGGACGTGGTGACCTTGGAGGACTTTTTCCAACCTGAGCGATTCCTTGAAATGCTACTGGGAGAGGTGTGCTTCCTTCCCTGGCGTTGAGGAAACCCTGTAGAACTGTGGAGTCCTGCAGGGCGGAAGATTTTGTCACGCCTCGTACAGAGGAAAAAATAGCTCATTACTGTGCAGAACCGTGCTCTGCTGTTCTAGGAAACAGCCTGTCTATAGATTTTTCATTGAAAGATGCACTCTTTGTCACTTTTTTTAGAAGATCAGTAGTGAGGGGGTTGGCATCCCAGGCATCCATACAAACTGGAAGGAGCGGTCCTTGAGAGCAGCCCTGTGGAGAAGGACCTGGGGGTCTTGATAGATGAAACACTTAACAAGAGCCAGCAAATGGGATCCTGGGCTCCATCGGAAGAGGGGTGACCAGCAGGGACAGGGAGGTGATTTTCCCCCTCTACTCTGCTCCTGTGAGGCCCCATCTGGAATACTGCGTCCGAGTGTGGAACCCCCAGTACGAATAAGACAGGGAGCTGTTGGAGAGGGTCCAGAGAAGGGCCATGAAGATGATCAGGGGACTGGAGAACCTCCCCTATGAAGACAGGCTGAGGGAGCTGAGCTTGTTCAGCCTGGAGAAAAGAAGACTGCGGGGTGACCTCATTGCAGCCTTCAGTACCTAAAGGGAGCCTGCAAACAGGAGGGGAATCAACTCTTGGAAAGGGTTGATAGCAGCAGGACAAGGGGAAATGGTTTGAAGTTGGGGGAGGGGAGATTGAGGTTGGATGTCAGGGAGAAGTTCTTTGCTATGAGAGTGGTGATGTGCTGGAACAGCTGCCCAGAGAGGCTGTGGATGCCCCGTCCATCCCTGGAGGTGTTCAAGGCCAGGATGGGGCCCTAGGCAGCCTGGGCTGGTGTTAAATGTGGAGCTTGGTGGCCCTGCATGTGGCAGGGGTTTGGAGACTTGTGATCCTTGAGGTCTCTTCCAACCTGGCCATTCTGTAGTGCTGGTTGGTCCACAGTGTGGTTGGGTGTCCTGGTGCTACAACAGTGAAATCACCAACGTTGTTCGCTTCAAAATGAATTAAGATGCTCCTTTTCTTGATAGTTCTTCTATTCCCAAGTTTAAGAATTATCAACTCCCTGACATCCTCTTATTAGAAGATATACTCAGGAATGAATAGATGTTGGTCTCATTTCTTGACAAAGGTTGTAGGAGTACTAACATAGAAAGACCCAGCTGCAGAGGAACACAGTTCAGAGTCTGTGACAGCCAGATGATGCTGATTTTTCAGGAAAGGTTTTCAGTAGTGAGAGAACTGCACCTGCTGTTGTACCTTTCCATGGTGGAGGGTGTTTTGTGCTGCTGCCTTACATAAAGGGTCTATTTCTGGCTGGCTGAGATTTGGAAGCAGAAGTGAGAACGAGGTGGTATTCGTTGCTGAAGTGTTATATTGATGGCTGGCTTCTTAGTTAGCATGAGTAATGATTTTCCCTGGTAAGCAGTGTTATTTAAGCAATAGATCACAGCACAGTAGCCTGAAGTTGTTATCAAGTGTCACTGTACATATGTATGTATATACATATACAGTATAACACTTGAACACATGACAGGTTAAGCTGTTACCTTTTTTCTTGTTATTTACAAGGACTTGATGACAATGATTAGCAGACAGGTGCCTTCCACTTTGCACTGCCCTAACTAACAAGACCACAACTCGTTTAAATAAATCTCAAACCTCTTATTGTCCAACTGGGATGAAAATGCCTGTCTGGTTCAAGTATCTGCACTTTTCTGTTCTTGTCCCTGCAGGTATTGTATGTTGCTCAGCTTGACAGTGAGCTCATTTGGAGCTGCCAATTTCTTCTGTGCTCCGTTACTCCCAAACTGTTCTAATTTGTTCTCTTAAAATACATTGTGTGCACCTACAGCCCCTTATTTAGAGCTGGCTGTAAAGCAGAAGGTGAGCAAAATGAGCGTCTGACAGCAGCACGAATGCGTTGGCGCATCCAATGTCTGCTAGTGCTGGTTGTTGCCAAGCCTGAGGAATCGTCCCTTTGGTTGGGAGTGGAGCCTCAGCCTCCCAGCAGCTCCCCTGAAATGAGGTCTTTTTCCCAGAGGTGAAGGAGCTGCTGTTTTCAGAAGCAGAGTGAAGCTGTCGTGCCATCTTTTCATCCAACTCGCTCGTTGCCTGAGCGTTTCTGCCATCTGCAAATGGGAAGGCAATTAATTTAAGTATTTAATGAGCGGACTTCCACACCACTTTGTTGTGTTGGAGGACTCGTGGGCTGGCCTAGCCCTGCAGGCAGAGCTCTGCTTCTCGCTGTGGCCGCCTTCAGGTTGGTGCAGATGGGACGTGGGGCGAAGCCTTCCCACAGCTGCCTTCAGTGTGTCATCTGTGCAAAGCATGGATGCTCTCTGTGGCCAGCAGGCCTCACAGGGAAACCTCAGAGATTTTACTGTACTGACACATCTTTTGCTTTACAGTTTTTACTTTACCTTTGAGTTGACACTGAATTTTCACTTGGTGTTGATTTGTGTGCAGGGAAAGAACGGCAAACGGCTGTAAAGCTCTGAAATCACCACCCTCTGCCCACGAGGCTGATGACAGCAGATGCATTCTTCTGGACTCTGTGCTACCTGCCAAAACTCTTTGCTCCTCTGCTTGTGCACATGCCGCATTGAGTATTTGTTGTTGTTATGCAATGGGCTGTTTTGATCCTTCTGTTTTGCAGAATTGCATAAACTGCTGTTGGCTCTGCCTTGTCAGAACGGGAATGCCTGTGCTGCAGCCCTGGCATCAGCAGAACAAACAGCCCCAACTTTACGGGCAGCTGACTTTAGAGGAACTTAAAGATTAATGAAAGCTGACAGGAGGGTGACTGTTGGAGAGGCTGACTTCTGGTGATGTAAAGGAAAAGTACTGGCCATACTGGGGGCTGGTTTCTTAAACTTCCAGTGCAGGCAGTAATCTTGGTGCCCTGATTTGTCTTCTGCTGCAGGACTCAAGCCTGAGGATACACAAATGGGACGCAGGACAAGATCCTGTCCTCAACACTTTGATTTGGAAAGAGCGTGTGATCTTAATGATCTTGTCTTACACGTGTTAATGGACATATCTTGTTCTGAGTGTTGTGTGGCAGCCACTATTGTGCCGTATCAAATTGACGTATCCCTTCTTCTCCTATTGCAGTGAATCAGAAATCTTGCACCACGACAAACAATACGAGCCTTTTTACTCCTCCTTTGTTGCACTTTCAACACATTACATCACTACTGTGTGTGGTCTCAGTAAGTGTTCTCCATCCTCCAATTTTACCCTTGTACAGTGACTGAAGGATAGTGAAAGTAGGCCCAAGCTGTTCCTTTGGGATTTGTCTCAGGCTCCATTTGTGAATCAGATATTAATGTAGAGCACAGAGTGGTTCATTACTGCTGGCAGATGGAAAGGGAAACTTGACTCGTTTTGGTATTTGGGCACCTACTGGGGGGTGGTGGCAGCTTTTTGGTTGCATATTTCTTTTCTCAGCAGAAAGGTAGTTTGGGTGAACTTGTTTTGTGTCCATCAGTTCCTTTTCTCTGAGCTCTGACAGTATTAACTCATAAATGTTGCAAGGAAAGCCATCCTATATGCCTGTGTTAGAAGGCTTTATCCTTGCTTTACTGACATTTCTTAGGTTACATTTTAATGAGACCAAATTGACACTGCATTTCTCTGTTAGACATACAGTGCATGCATGCATTCTGCCTACCATTCTGCTTTATTGAAAGCATTAAGAACATGCTATACCAATTTACTTAAAGACTTGCCCTAATTGGTGCAACCATCTGCTTTTCAGTACCCAGAAACCAACTGCAGTCGGTGGCAGCAGCATGTAAAGTCCTGATTGAGTTCTCCCTTCTGCGTCTAGAGAACCCAGACGAAGCGTGCGCTGTTTCACAGGTAAGCACAGATTTTGACCACGTGGCCCTGAG